AAGCGCAGCTGCAATGGGGAAATTGTGCTGCGAGAGCAAAAAAAATAAAACCCGCTGTTTTCATGTAAATGTCCCTAATAATAAAAGTGAATGAAGAAAGCGACAGATCCAAACAAGAAATAGTACATTTGTGCTGGGGAAGCAGAAATGGTTCTAAAAAAGAGAGCTTTATCAACAGTTTCCAGAAGGCATCGGCKGCTCTTTAATGCTCCTGGAGGAATAACGCAGCTCCTGCTGGACCTGGGCTGCCTGGTGCCTCTGATCACAGGCTCACAACAAACTACACTCAAAAAACATGAAACCTGGTTGTTTTGTCAAGCTGAGCTGCCATACCTGGGGGTTGGTGATGTTTGTCCTGGTCCTGTGGCATTTTCCTGGCAATGCCCACTCTGGGGGTGCTGGAATCAGCCTCATTCCAGCCCCATCCCTGCACCAGGAACGGCCAAACTCCCCGAAAAATCATCATCATCATCATTATTATTATTATTATTATTACTATTATAATTAATAATAATAATAATAATAATAATAATAATAATAATAATAATAATAATAATAATAATAATAATAATAATAATAATAATGCAATAAAAAATAAAAATAATATAAAGATAATATGGAAATAGTACAAAAATAATATAAAAATTATATTAAAATAATATAAAAATTATATAAAGATAATATAACACCAATATAACAATAATATAAAAATAATATAAAAATAATATAAAATAATATAAATATAATATAAAATAATATAAATATAATATAAAATAATATAAATATAATATAAATAGAATATAAAAATAATTCAAAAATAATATAAAATGTGGCCCATGCAATGATAATGTGTTTTGTTCCAGAATACACAATATTGTGAGATGCAGCAATCATCAGGTGATTGCGAACAGTGAAGGTCAGTGTTTATCTCGCTTTCTTTGCACTTTGGATTACAAACTCTCAGCTGAACTCCCTGTGAAGTCAGAAAGTGTTGTTATCCCTTTTCCTGGTGGGAAAACAGGGGCAGAAAGCAGCCTGTGTGTGTATTTGAAACTCCTCAGTCTCTCATCCACTGTACCTGGACCTTCCAGATATTCTAATTATTTATTTCTCAGTAACGAGACCGAGCTCGTGGTGYGAAAGGCTCTGCACAAAGAAATCCCAAGAAGAAAAGCAGAGAAGGTCACAACCTGCTGCCCTTTGGCTTCAAAGCTCTGCAGGGCGATTTAACCCAAATATACTCCAGGACTACAACTGGACTGAGAGTCAGAAGGAAGGGGAAGGCTGGAGGAGGCACTCTGGGATTATTCCAGCTCTGTTATTCACCAATTTCAGCACGTAAAGGCAGGGCAGCCCCTTTTGCTGGTGCTCAAAGTCTCTGGGAGTGAGGAGGTCGGAGAGTATCAGGCAAAAAGCACCCGAGGAGCCGGGAGGGAGGCAGGGAGAGGGCAGCTCTGATCTCCCACTCGCACATTTCCCATGGCTGCAGGACAGAGCTGTCCTGGGAGCTCGGGACAGGGCAGAACTCCCAACCAGGGCACAGTGCAGGTTCTGTGCAAGAGACATCGTGTAACCGCAGCACCTCTCTTTCATCCTTTTTCCCTTTTCTTTTTACTCTCAGCAGCCCAAGGGACCGACCCTTGTTCTCTACACTGATGGGATTGCATCCTGTCCAAGCCCAAATGTAAATCACCCCCCGGGTGGGTGGCAATGGTCACTTTAACGGTGGCAATGGTCAGTTTAACAGTGCCAATGGTCAGTTTAACGGTGGCAATGGTCAGTTTAATGGTGCCAATGGTCAGTTCAACGGTGGCAATGGTCAGTTTAACAGTGCCAATGGTCAGTTCAACGGTGGCAATGGTCAATTTAACGGTGGCAATGGTCAGTTCAATGGTGCCAATGGTCACTTTAACAGTGCCAATGGTCAGTTCAACGGTGCCAATGGTCAGTTTAACGGTGCCAATGGTCAGTTTAACCGTGGCAATGGTCAATTTAATGGTGCCAGTGGTCAGTTTATCGGTGGCAATGGTCAGTTTAATGGTGCCAGTGGTCAGTTTATCGGTGCCAATGGTCAGTTTAACAGTGCCAATGGTCAGTTTAACGGTGCCAATGGTCAGTTTAACGGTGCCAATGGTCAGTTTAACAGTGCCAATGGTCAGTTTAACGGTGCCAATGGTCAGTTTAACGGTGCCAATGGTCACTTTAACGGTGGCAGTGGTCACTTTATCGGTGCCAATGGTCA